TCATGGTGCCCTCTGCTCTCAGATGGATAAAGTCAGTTTCAGCAATCAGTCATCTAGATGAGTCATAATTGACAGCCCATATTACATGAAATCCGTCTACCTTTGCGCCGACTAAATTATAGTAGGCTCAGGCTCGCGGCGGGCTGGTGCGTGTTTTCTGAGACACCTCACAAATATCTTATGCCAAACAATATCTTTGCTCAAGCGGCATTTGAGGTGAACCAAGTCTCCACACCTTAAACATAACTATCTTATTACGTTATTTGCTCGTTACCATGAAACAGATGGTAATTTTTGTTGCTAAAAACCCTAAGTTGATTTGTTACAATGGAAATGTACATTTAGTGACACATACATTGCGTACAATTTGTGTAATGGTGTCCAATCTATCGTTTACTATTGCAGAGCGTTAGTAGTATGTTGTTGCAACTCGCTTTGAACATCTACAAGTATTTACTTAGACGTGACCGGAACATAATTACATGATCAAAAGAACTTACCTGTTAATGATGTTCGATCATAATTATGTGAAGGTCTCGTCGAGGTAAATCGCTGTCTCCCTATGTATCACCCAATTGTTGCAACAACTTGACTTTGAAGAAAATGATGTCTGTAGGCGGTAGGCAGGTAGAGTGGCGCGGTGCCGCTTACCTTCGCTGCGTGCGCGCTTTGAACTCGTGGGTTTGGTGAGCTTCGAGGGTACTACAAGTAGTATTTACTTCGACGAGACCTTCACATAATTATTATCGAACATCACTTACAGGTAAGTTCGTTTGAGCATGATATTCTAATAGCAATTCCAGATTGATGTAGACACAAATATTTAACAATTAATTTTCAGAAAACCATGTATATGCCTTTCACAAACCTTCACCAGTTATTTTCCTAACAAGTGCGGAAAGTGATACTTTTCCGCATATGACGACATTTGCACGAACGAGGCAAAGCGGAGTTAGGGCAAGCCGTCAATGGCGGAAAATACACTTTCCGCAAGTGTTAGGTATAATGGCAGAAAAACTAAATGACCATCATTTACCTCTTTACAAATTAAATGTGACAATACAGTAATACTCTCACACATTCAACCGATAAGACTAAACATTTAGGTGTTCATTTGGATCCTCATTTGAAGTGGAATTTTTATGCTGATCATAGAGCAACTAATTTGTTACGATTATTATATAAATTCAAGTACCTCGCTAAATATTTAGATAATGAGACAGTGAAGATGTTATAATCACGCACTTATTGAATGTCGTCTCAATTATGCCATATTAGCTTGGGGTGGTCGTTTACCAATCCATTTAAAAGTAAAAAATGATACAAAAGCAATTTTTGAAACGGCCAAGTCTATATCCATCTGACATGTTACATTCCGAAGCGGTCATACTTGATCTTAGACAACTCTTTTTTACGGTGTTGTTATCAGTCTATTCAAAAATAAAACTAACCTTATTTCATTGGATCACAAATATGAAATAAGAAGTGTAATCGAGAATATTAAAAGAACACCATTTACAGTAAAAAATGTAGGTTAGCGTTAGTCGGGGCAAGGGCTATACGCGGCATTTCAGCAGGGAGATTTACAGCAGAAATGACTGGATTTGTTGGTGAAACGGGAAGAATACCCTTTTCTGCTTTCCTTGTATACTTTTCGGCGGTGACAAAGCGTGGACGGAGGTAGGTGTTACAGATTTAGTGCACCTGAGTGAAAAAATTAAGAAGCATGAAAACTCTAAAACACATCTTCATAATTCGATGGAATTGGCTTTATTGAAGACTGTTAACATCAGAGCTCAGTTAGATTCAGCATATTGGAGAAATATACAACAGCATAATGATACCGTTACAAAAAACAGGTACGTTCTATCAAAAATAATCGATTGTATAAAATTTTGCGGAGCATTTGAATTGGCGCTACGGGGCCACGACGAAACCGAGAGCTCTCAGAACCCGGGAATATTTCTTGGACTGATTTTTCTGCTGAGCTTGATACAACCTTAAGCGAACACATAAAAAATTCTTCAATATTTAAAGGAACTTCGAAAGACATACAAAACGATCTACTGGATTGTATTCTTGATGTTTGTCATGAAGAAATAATAAAACACGTTAACAGAGCCCCGTATTTGGCGATAATAGCAGATGAAACAACGGACATTTCAGGAAAAACAAAACTGGTAACAATTTTCAGATCCGTATTTAACGGCGAACCGGTAAAACGCTTTTGGAATTATATGAATCCCTAAAAATGTGACGCTGATACTCTCACAAGACATATTTTGAGCATTGTAGATCCATTAATAGGAAATTTCCCTAACAAACTGATTTTACAAACCTATGATGGGGCCGCGGTAATGAGCGGACATAATGCTGGAGTACAGGCAAAAATTAAACAAAGATATCCATTTGCTCACTATGTGCATTGCTATGCAGTTAAACCTAATTATGTCCCAAGCTGCTTCCGCAAGTGCTCAAGTTCGGGTGTTCTTTGGGGATTTGAAAGATATTCCGAGATTTTTTAATAATTCTCCTCAACGCGTAGAGGTACTGAACAGAATTGTAGGGAAAAAAATTCCCCAAGGAGCAACAATTCGTTGAAATTTTAATATTCGAACAATAAATGTAATGTTTGAGAACAGAAAATCACTCATTGAATGCATGGAAGAAATATAAGAAAATTTCACTAATGAAACCGTTTGCAAGGCAGCTTACGGTATTCGCCGTATGTTAAACGATTCTGCTTTCGTGTTTTGGTTGACATTTTTTCATCATGTCATGCCTCACGTTGACATCTTGTTCTAAAGCGGCTATCGATAATTTTGAAAAATGTATTGTCGATGCGAGAAATAAAATTGATGACATAATAAATGAAGCCAAAAGTATTTGCACTGAATCCCAAGGCAACAAAAGGAGACAACGTAATAATAGCAGTCACGATCACCGAGTTGACGCATTAGAAGTATGCGACAATATAATGAATTCTGCAAATGACAGATTTCAATTCAAAGGTCATTTGGTAGCCAGATCCCTTTTTTTCCCCGAACACTTTGGAGAATACTCTTTCCTGATGACAAGTTGGAAACTACCTGCTTGGCTTATCCCGAATTTGAAAAAAGTCGTTTAAAGACAGAGTTGTCTCTTATTTATGTACGGAATGATTGCCGAGATTTACATGGAGTTTTGTCTCTTTTGAAATTTTTGATACAAAACACTAAAAGAAACAAAAAAGCTATTAGAAATTATTGTTACAACTCCTATGTCAACATCAGAGGCTGAGCGAAATTACTCAACATTGAAAATAATCAAGACTTTTCTTCGTAATACTATGACCCAGGATCGCCTTACAGCGTTGTCGATGCTGTGCATTAAAAAGGAATTTATTTCGACCATGGAAAATTTCAACAGGTGAAAAATTTACAAGTTGTATTCGTATACGGTCTACACAATCATGAATTAATAAAAGTGACGTTAGTATCTGTCTTGCTGGTACTACGTAAAATGACACTGTTCGTGTCTCCATCTAAGAAAAAGTTGAAATTTGTAATAATGGGAACTAAAATATCATCACAAATGTAATGATTCCGATTTTTTTTAAGCCTATAATTTGAGTACACGATTTTTATTATATTTTTCTAATAACTACATATTATGACTTGGCCTATCCCCCGTTTCCGGCTTGACGTCGACTTTTGGGACACCCTGTATGTATACCGCATAAGAGCAGAAGAGTATCATAGAGTCCACAATCTCTAAATTTTGCTTGAACAACTGTTACAGATTCTCTACAATCTTTAATCATACTAGATGAAAATAGCCCCGGTTTGCGAAATATGTAATTGTAAAGATTTCATTGATGCAAGTTAAGGGGGTATTTAAAACATGGATGCAAAGAATAGGTACACCAATTTTTTTGGGAAAACTTTTAATTCGACAACAAAGAATGAGAAAACGTGTTTTTTGGGATTCAATCGAAAGTGTTCTAAGTAACGAACAAACTCTTCAAATAGGATTTTTAGGTATTTTAGAGACCTAAAAAAAGATCCGACTAATAGCAAAAAGCTTATTTCCGAAAACCTAGGCAAAATGCAGGTTTTGACACTTGTCGGTAATGCGGCGATAATTTCATCAATCGAGCTGTAGACAGGGAAAAGACAAGTCAGATTTTTGCTCCTAGAGGTGGCTACAGACGCAATTGCAAGCTTGCCCAGCAAGCTTATTCAATCTTTTTGTACAAGTATGCACTATTTGCCTTTGTCTCTTGAATCATCTTTGATTCAAAAGCAGGATACGATCATCAACGGACGCCAACTTGTGCAAGCTTGAAAATCTTGAGTACACACGTACCGTTTTGCTTGCGCAAGCGCCTAATTCAAGCATGCATAATTAAAATCTATTCAATTCTCAAGCTGCTTGTACAAATACAAAGCTTGCATCACATTTCCCTACAGACATTCAAGCGTGCTTGTACAAAAAGCATGGTGGACAAGCTTGTAGTTGTGTCTGCAGCCACCTTTAAAAAGTGCTGCGAGTGAAGCAGAAGTAAATAGCGGCATACCTAAGAGGTTGGAAAATACGAACCCTAGTGAGAGTTTGACAGCTGCAGAGATTGAAAGACACACCGAAAAGGAGAGGCTGCACCAAATCGTCGCTGACCAGGCAGTTCAAATCAAGAAACTGACGAAATGCGTGGACAATCTCAATGCCCAGGTTTTTAGCCTTACTACTTCTAAATCAATTCATGTCCCATGATGACAGCTCTATTAAGTCTCCCAAGAGAAGACACAACAGCCCTACCTCACTTACAGATACAGAAGACGATAAACAGGGGAGTAAAATTAACGAATATCTTTACCATCCGACTAACAAATCCCCAATCAATACCAATTCAATGGACATAACACCGACTGGGGCATGTTACACCTGTTGTGCTGCGGGATGCGGCAAAGTAGTGTACTGTCAATTACTCGTTTATCAGTCTTGGTAATTCGTCTTTTCAGAGAGGAAAATGTTCCTCACCATACATTTTCTTTGCCCTCTGAGCGGAACATCCACGCTGTTATCAGAGACATCCCAGCGTCAAGTCCTGAGCAGGAAATCAAAGAGGAGCTAGAACTATATGTACGTATATACTCCCCTCCACGTAATTGACTTGAAGCGCAACGTGCCGCGTGCCCATGCCGTTGGTGGTGGTGATCCTGCATAAAACAGAGAAGTCACAGCAAGTGTTCAACGAACATGAACTGCTGGTGCTCTCTATCAGAGTTGAGGTTCAAAAGAACTCTCGACTCATTGGGCAGTGTCACCGCTGTCAGAAGTATGGACACGCGCAATCGTATTGCACTGCACGTCCAAAATGTCTCAAATGTGCTCAAGACCACATGACATATCTGTGCCCTCAAATAGGACAAGAGGCACGCAGGGCAGCTGTGGAGGGAACCATCCGGCCAACAGTTCTACCTGTAGAACTCTCGCACATCCACGGTCCTGAGGGCAGAAGACAAGCTGATGCTATAGAACGACAGTTCTCTCCCAACTATGATCTTGATAATGATCTCGTAACATCCGTCAGGAGATAGCTTAGGGCCAGCGGCGTCAGTGATCCCGGTGCCGCTATTAGTGACTCTTCCTCGGGAGATTCTTTTTCGGTATATTATTCAACTGAAGAGTTCCATGGCACATCAGTGGCACCTCTAGAGATCCCGCATTGCACACCAGCAGAGCTTCAAGGTCATACTGATGTCGTCAAGGTGCGTAAAGCACCAAGCGAGGATCACTAATAAGGCGCTGAAGCTGCTTTCTCGGAAGTCCTTGACTGATCTCGTGGCTATTATCAATGCCCTGCTAAGGACCCAGTACGTCCCATCGGCGTGGAAGACTGCGGAAGTTATAATGATTCCAAAGAAGGTGGTTCGATATTTCCCCAGTACTATCGTCCCATTAGCCTATTGTTTGCTCCATCTAGGCTCGCTGAAAAGATGATTCTATGAAAATGCAATTTGGATTTCGGTCTGATCATAGTACATAGTTACAATCGGTTAGGCTTGTGGAGCGAGTAACCAGGTGCTTGACCCTTAACGAAAGTACTGGTTTCTTGCTTCCGGATGTCTCGAAGGCATTTGACAAGATGTGGCACAAGGGCCTTCTTTATAAACTAATTCAAAAGGGCTTTCCATTTCGTCTCCCAAAACTTTTTAAATCCTTCCTTTACTCACTTTTCAAGCATGATGTCCCTTGCCTAGCGACTGTGTAGTCTATCTATATGCTGATGACCCTAACTTGGTAGCCCTGTCGAGTTCCGGGAATTTGGTTCACGACAGGTTACAAAGTGCAGTGGATGAGGTATTGGAAAGGGCAGATCGGTGGCTAATCAAAATTAATTACTCGAAAACGCAGGCTATCTATTGTACTAAAAAACGTAGAAGAACAATCCTTGCTATTATTGTTTTAGTTATTCTAGAAAAACTCCATGAGGATTTCAACGTCGGCCCCTTGTCCCAAATTATGTAACTACTGTCTACTTATGATGGACATCCTGTATAATTATTTACTTTAAATATGTTAGTGTATACGATAGGGATTTGACTAGAGACTAGAGCAATTAAAACTGTCAAGATTATACTGAATGACTTCAAGTGTTATCTCAATGACATACGACCTTGAACAAATTCAATTCAGTAAATTGGGTGATTATGACCGCGGTGATTCTAGCAACAACGGCCACCCAGCAACAAACGGTAGTCCCTCTTCTCGCCAGCGGCCGCGTCGTGCTGGACAACCATCGCGCGTCGCAACAGCAGCGAAGCCGGCGCAGCGTAAGCAGGCGGTGCGGCACCGTCTTCCCATGTAAAACGGTGTTATAGTATCTACACATAATTATATACATTGTGTGTTGTCAGTGTTATCACACTATCTATTTCATTCCGTGGCGGGGGCATATTAAGCCTACCAGAGGGAGCGAAAGTTACCTATACGAAACGCACATGGAAATTTGAAAATTAAAATTCTCAATGTTTCTTCAAATCAACACCACTTTTTTTTTCACGAAAATCAATGCTACAATGCATCCTTTATATCCGGGATCGATTACATCTCGTGGCCGGGGCATATTAAGCCTACCAGAGGGAGCGAAAGTTACCTATACGAAACGCACATGGAAATTCGAAAATTAAAATTCTCAATTTTTCTTCAAATCGACACCACTTGTTTTTTTCACGAAAATCAATGCTACAATGCATCCTTCATATCCGGGATCGATTACATCTCATTAAGCCTACCAGAGGGAGCGAAAGTTACCTATACGAAACGCACATGGAAATTCGAAAATTAAAATTCTCAATTTTTCTTCAAATCAACACCACCTTTTTTTCACGAAAATCAACACAATCTATTTAGCTAATAAGTTAGCGCTATTCATTGGCATTTATGTACACTGTCAAACATTTCAATATCAAGCTAAAAAGTGTTGATTTGGTCAAAAGCAAAACAGTGAAAAAACATAACCCGGGCCTGCATTTTTTAACCGTCCATCTGTACGTAACTTCTATTTTAACGAAATCGGTTTAATAGCGCCTGGGATATGCGATCTTAAAGATTTGGCGTGTTTAAATAAACCACCCTGTATATCCCACAAACTTCAAGAAGAACTTTTTCATTTTAAGATAATGGTCTCGGTCCATACTACCTACCGTTTCACCATGCCCCCCAGTATTAGGACAGACCGAGGGGCTCCCTTCCCCACTTGCCTATACTTGTTATTGAGAGAGATTTGAAATATATTATAGCGGGGAGACAGTTATTACAGAGAATCGTTGGAAAATATAAAGCACTGGCAACGGCGCGCCTCTTCCTTTGAGGCATTCCCCGCCTGCCACGCGTAGCATTCTTCGGCTAAAATTGAATCATCTTCAGTGTTGCCGGTTTGCCAGTAACTACTGACATTTGCCTGGAATGTGGGAACGAATTTTCCAGTAGTACCGATACCCTTGTGCAATTTTCTGGTTTTTCTACATAGCGTCATGCGGTGAGGTCGTCTCGTCACGTGATTTTCGAATTCAATACTGTTAAACTGATTTACGTTGCTTAAGCTGCTAAACATAACATATTTGAAGAAATGCAAATATATGATTAAAAAAACAAAAAAGGTACAAAACATGTATTTTGATAATTAATTAGCACTTTTCATTGCCTTATTTTGTACATATTGAGAAAGTGAGAAAAATCGAGTTCGGTCCGTCTACTTTTACATTACTTTTAGGTAAGCATGCTATCCTGCAAAATTTCAACGGTACTACGCCTAAGATATGCGATATTCAATATAATAATATTGACGTGCTAAGCTATCGGTAAAGACTGAGTTAAGAATTTGACTCGGTAGAAGAAGCCAGTCAAGGTTTTGTTTGTCTACTGTCCCTCTATTCACATGTTCTGCTATGTGTGCTACGTATGGCTGCCACAAACGTATGCATCAATGAAACGAGTTGTTCTTTACGAATGAATTTGGGACATAGAGTGCATGTATATGGGTGTTGGGTACGTATGCAGTTTTGGGGTTCCAATGTTCCACAAAAAAATCATAAGCAAATCACAAAATGATGAAAATAAACAATCCAAACAGTGGAAAATGTCATGCATGATTTGGAAAATATGACGATATTGAGATAAGCATGAAGATGTAGACACAACGTTCTTGAAAATTAACAAAATGTACCTATACGAGTACTCCCCTGACGTGCTCCATTCCCAACTGTCACTACAGTCATCAACAAATCTCTGTATTTGTAACTACAACCAAACCAAACCAAACCAACTTTGCGTTCCTGAAAATTCTAGCGAGGATTTTTTTTTTAACAAAATGAATGTGTCACAACAATTTACACATTTTTTTCTTATGTTTGTTCTCGATTGGAATGTTGCTCCAAGATAGTATTTCCTTCGTTGTATGAGAGATTTAGCCATATTTTGCCCATTTTCAAATTGCACACTGAAGGTGATGGATAACCAACTTGTAACATATTTAGATAAACGCAACTAGAGGAGGACAACAATGGGATATACCGCTGTGCTATGACCTTCCTGAGATGTTTTGCCTACCGAAATGACACCACCTCTCGAAGAAAGTTTGGAAGGTTTTTCAATACAAATGTTTGTATATTGTCTGTGAGATTATCAGTGTGTGAATGTTGTTTACTATCTTGTTTTATTTATCATTTTGTTACTATATATCTCTGTATATACATAGCTGCTATCTTGACGATTTTTGTACAAGATTTAAAAAATGAATTATTAAGACGTCTATGTGAAGAGTATAATACCGATTAAAATCTGTGAATTATTGTTGTTACATTCATTCTGCTCCTGAAGAACAATACTCGCTCGAATATTCATGAGCCCAAAATTAGAGGATAAAGCAGATATGGTTCTTGTCCTGACACTGTATTTCAAAAGGGTAGAGCGTGAAATTATCTTAAACTTAGTCATAAGTTTTATTTTTTTTCGCCACTGTAGGATAAACGGAACCAATGACGATACAAAAAAATGTGAACTTGGCTCAGAAAGGCAATCGATTTCTATAGAAATTGATGAAAAACGTTTCGACTTCGTACAGGAATTACGACAGTTACGAGAGATGCAAAATTGGTGGCAAAATATTCCTTTGCGTCTAACACTTCAATCACTGTATATCTTGGCATGATTAAAAAACCAGATTAAAGAGAAAATGCGGTTCTTGGTAATGGAAAGCATTGCGGTCTAATTGCCAACTGGAGTCACACCACAGAGCGGCTCAAAGTTGTGGTAATGAAACATCATTTTGATTTACCCTGTACAACGAGTCACCGTGGCTACAATCAAGAACTCAAACTTACACAATAAAGCTAATGAGTGTATCTACGGCCTGCCGGAGTAATAATTGGAATCGGGTAAAAAAGTTATGACGTTACGATTTTGACTAAAAGTTTACTTGTCTTTAATTTGAACCTGAGTGTACTATATTTGGCAAACTCCTCAACCGAAAGTAGTCTATGTCGTCGGCACCCATATTGTGTATAATAATCGCTATGATAGTGATCTGACCGTCAAAGAGACAGTTATATTGAAGTTTTTGTTTTGGCTGATAAGATTGAAATCTCAATTTCACGGGGC